ATCTAACCTGCATATGAAACAAACAGTCAAAAAATAATGATAAAAAAGACTGAGCAACAAGAGGTAAAATGAAACTTATAGTAAGAAAATATAAAATATGAAACGAAACATGTGAAACACATAATCAGATTTATAACAAGTAAAAAATCAGATTTATAACAAGCAAAATGTTAACAATCAACAAATGAGCCAATGAACAAATCAAACAATCGAGTAACACAAGCATATGTGCACACATACACGAGCGAACATAGATACGTACATCATATAGAAACACACAAAAACATACAAGACTACCACACACACACACACACACACACACACACACACACACACACACACACACACACACACACACACACACACACACACACACACACACACACACACACAGACACACACACACACACACAGACACACACCAACCACACACACACACCCTCATCAACAGACCTTGGGAAAATCAGTGTTGATCTGCCTGATGGAGGCCCCCTTGGGTCCGATGATGAATCGATGCAGCCAGTTATCCACCTCTAGATCTCTACTAACAACACTGTTTGCCTGTCAACATGCATGCAGGTTGTTATTGATGGATAACAGTACAGATCTGACACAACATACGACGATATTGTTGGACAACACTACAGATCAGATTACACAGGACAGACAACATTCGACGAATGTTTAAGTAACCAACACCAACTTTAGCATAGACGAGGGTGAGAGCAGGTCCCAACTTATCGGCATCACCTCTCAAGGTGATGGTCTCTGAAGGCACGTCTAGGGAGGGCACTTCCACCCACACCCCCGTCGCGGCGAGGATCTCGGTCAGGTGGGAGTTGCGGGAACCCATTATGTACTTGTGCTGAGTCTTCTTCACCTCCACTGAGATAGTCTTGCAGTTGCGAAGCTGTTGTGGAGACAAGTTACAATGATGGTAGTTTTTGTCAGTATGATGAAGCTGATAATTTCATAGAAGTAATTAAAGTAGATTGTGATTTTCGAAAAGAACACAATGATAAGATCAATAAGAAGTTAATAAGTTCAATATAGTAAAAATAAATATCAGTAAAACAATAAGTAAACACTGATCTGACCCACGTGAGCAAGCAAATATACATGCAATCAATTTAAAAATCCAATATTTCATAACCGAGATAAACTTTTTAACAGTAAGTAACGAACTCAAATCTTATTACCATATATTAAACAAGTCACACAATCTTATCATCATATATAATGAAAGAACCAGCACACCTATATTATCATAATAATGCACAACAACCACGACAAATAATATCATCACAAACACGCAAAAAGAACAGAGAGGATCAACACGGACCTTGTCATCATATATCCGCCTAATTTCGCTCTCAATCTGCTGGACCCCTTCCTTCTCTCCGGAGATGGATATTTCATCAGATTGGATCTGAGCTGGAGGGATGTGCACTCTCACATCTTTCCCTGTCTTCTCGATCAGGTCCTTGATCAGCTGGCCATTCGGTCCTGAGATGAACGGATGGTAAGCCTTCAACACTGGAATCCTCACAACTGCCAACTTGGACTGGGGGATCACATGTGTTCGTGTTCATTCAGTTCGTTCGTTTGTTCGTACGTTTGTTTGTGTTTGTTTGAAGTGGTGGTTTGTTTGTTTGAAGTGGTGGTTATGTGAAATCCTATTAAATAAATGTTTAGATGGTTATCTCAGTAGAGATCTTATACTAATGGAAGATAATTAAATTATTTGAACAATTGAACCATGCTAATGTAAGGTGAATTCCAGAGAGTTAATTGGCTCGAAGTAAATGATTAAGTTGAAGTTAAGGAAATAATTTGATCATTATGATAAACTAATATTGAAAGATTGTTTCATCAGCTTAGGAAAAATCATTGAAATTAAAATTTCATCTAAAAATTCATTATCCATCAGCACATTGCCATCTTTAATTTCTTTTATAAAAAGTGATATTCACGCATTCATTTCCATGTTTAAACAACTACCCCACCCCACCCCGGTCCACGCCCCGCACCACACATCATCGCCCCCTCACCATCTCATCGGACTTGAGTTGTATGGCCAATCTTGCCCTCTCGATGCCCTCCTTGGTGCCTGTTATCTCGATGATGTCTGAAGGTTCGTCCGGACGGGGGATCTTGATGCGAGTCGACGTCTCCATTTCAAGTTGTTCACGCACCTTGTTCTTCGAGCCGATGATGAAGCGGTGATGTTCTTTTGGGATGTGTATCTTCAAAGAGCCCTGTCAATATGAAATCGTGGATGATGGTGATGACGATAATTTGGTGGTCGTGGTGGTGTGACCATGGTCACGGTAACAATGAGAATCAATGACACATGATAACTGCAAAAGCAGTGATGTTGGTGATACGACAGGCAAAGAAAAACCACCTGCTGTTGAAGTTGTTGTGTCAGGTCCTTCCTGGCCCTCATCACGGCATCCATCTTGCCTGTCACAATCACCGACAGGCTCTGGTCCTTGGAAACACTCATCTCTATTGATACCTCTGCATGTATTTGTATATATGTGTATATATATACATATATACATTATATACAGTACAAAAATGACATGTATGCATATATAACTCAGACACAGTATAAAAAGTGAGCACCAACAGCTGTGCGTATCATGTGACATCTGTTGTGTACATTGCATTCTTGTGCAGTTGTGGTTTCAAGCTTTTTACTATTACAAATTAATAATTTTGATGGGACTTGTGCCAAATCTTTATGTTGCAATGACAAATTGCATGGCTGGAAGATTAGTGCAAAGAATTGATTAATAATAGCAATTAATAACCAACAACTCAAAGGAATTTCAAAGGAATTTCAACATTAGAACAGGCTAGAGTGATATAGAACTATAGCCATAGAACTATAGAACTTTTTTTTTACATTTACAATACATAAGCACGTTAACTAATATAATATAAATTATATGAACCTCATTATTACATAACAGCACAGACCACATATACAAACCCAGATCCTTATAACTTTAGCAGAGCACTTCAATAACAACATGAAAAAAACAAAAGCCTTTATGAGATGAATTTAAAGAAAAAAAAATAACAAAAAAGAATTTGCAGTATGAAATATCTTGCCGTGGGAACTCATCTTATTTGTCATCATGCACTGGTCCACATTGTTGTCCAATGGTGCAATTTGGAGATAACCTTCTCAGAAAGATTTGTCATACAAACATGGATAATAACTTCTTAATATATGCAGTAACAACATGTACTCACTCCAAACAAGTGGGCCAAGAATGCAAAACAAGAATGATAGAAATTATAAATTTGACAAACATATAATCAGATAATTTGCCATTCAAACATAGACAAATCGGCTGAAAATAAATCGTTCATCAAACCAAATGAAAAATTTGTACCACAGCACAAATGTTCATAAAGAAATTTAAATACTTTCAACAGACTGATAAGCTCAACCATTACCCTTTTATCAGCTTTAATTTTAAAAAATAAAAAATCAGTTGACAGTTCCTTTAAATCAACAAATGAAAATAATCATCAAATTGACAAACATGTCACCAAAAATCATCAAGTACCAGCAAATAAAATTGTCACAAGAGCTCCATTCATTTCAGTTCATTCATTGAATTCAATAAACCAATCATCCATGCAGTGAACCATTGAAACAACTGAACAACCTTCCCAACTACAAACCATTCACGTGGAACAACTAAAACTACATCGGCACAACTTATTCACCAGGCTAACAATTATCATAAAAAATTTAATGAAAAAACTTATGATTGAATGAACAACAACAACCTGTACTCATAAACTAACTAACAAACGATTGATGCAATTAAAAAAACTAATAAACAGACTAATAAGAAAATGTACAAACAACAAATCAGGAACAAACAATTAGGTAAACAAACCAACGTAATGGACAAACAAGCAAGCAAAAAGACTAATATTCTAACACAGAAAGAAAGAAACAAACAGACAGACAGTCAGATGACTAACCATGCCTACTCATAATGTCACTGACAGTAGAGGCCTGTATCTTCTTGTCACCAAAGACTGACTCATTCAGATACTTCCTTTCCTCCATTGGAATTGTGAAGACCTGTTCAAACGTGGTGCACATGTGTGTGTTTGAGTGGTGTTTCCAGTGGCTCTGTGTTGAGGTTGTTAAAGTTGAACGTTGTTATTTTTCAAGTTATTTTCAATAAGTTGTTGTTAAACATTTGTAAATGTAATGTTAAAGCCGTGATTTGATTGTTTTTTAGCCCAGAGTATTTACGGATTCAGAATTGAATCATGATATTCAAGATGAATGCCAAACTTAGTTATACAGCAATTAGGACAAACATATCTCGTTGAAACTTAATCTACATTTTTTTTTAAGAAATAGAAACAAATTTTTATTTGAAATGTCATTACAAATTACTAGTGCTGAAGCTAAAATGCTAGGATGGAAAAGAATGAACCAAATGAACTTCAGACATGTGACTGTCATACCACAACAGCTATAATAAAAAAACAAAGGAATGTAAGAGAGCACCTATCTAAGAAACAACAGAAACATAGAAGCATATAAGACAATAATAAAACAAATAAAATTATTGTTAGTATGCAGGGCTAAGAGTTAGGGAATGATAATTGTTCGCCTGGCAACTTCAGAGGCATTTAAAATGAACTAATTGCAACTCTACTGATGAGTTGATATATAGAATTTAACAAATATTGTACATGTTAAGATTTATTTACTCAATTTCTTAAACATGTCATGATGGAAGATGACGATGTGATTGATGATGAGGTGGTGATGTTTGCTGATTGACAGGCAATAAAATGATATGAACATAATTCAACAGTAGCACCTGGCATATTACTGCATGAAAATTATATATATATATATATATATATATATATATATATATATATATATATATATATATATATATATATATATATATATACATATATATATAGTGTGTTATATATAT